TAAATTAAATAAGCAAAGGCGTAATCAAATATAAACTAAAGCACAAAAAAATCAAAAAAAATATATATATATATATACAAACACACATATGTATGTGCATATTTACTTACTAAATATACATACAATTCCATATATATACGTAGAGTAGATATATACATAATATATCAAAATGCGATATATCCTGTTTTAAAATTCCGTTTTCGCTGTTTTTTAGAGCAGATATACATATAATACATACTAGTTTAAACAAACCTAAGGAATATAATCTATGAGGTAGGTACTCTTTATTCCCTACATTGAGTACTGTTAAAGTTATTTAATTTTAAACCATTTTAAAAAATCAAAAACAAGCGATCATAAATTTCGAAAATTAACAAACGGCGGTAAATCGTATTCTTATTAATTAAAAATTAAACTCATTATAAACTACTTATAAAAAATCTTTCTAAAAGAACTCAATAATTGCGTAGTGTATTTGTATATATTTATATGTACATACTATAAGCAATTGCCAAATATTTAGTAAAACTCCTTTGTCGAACAAAAACAAGCATGATTGCATATAAAATTTCAAAGTACACAAACATACATACGTGCATACTTATGTACAAAGCGTATTGATCTCTTTAACGAGCTCTCAATTGCACACAAATATAATTAACTACGTATAAGTCCATCTATTAGGGTGTGCCTATATACCTAAAATAAGGAAATAAAATATATTAAAATAACAAGTGCAGTTTTAATTTAAAAACAACACAATATCAAGACATGTTTTCAAGATAAAATATAAAAAGTATATATTAAATACAAGCAAAAAATAAACGAGATTAATAAAACAAAGTATCAGTTTTTTCCGAAATAAAATACTCTTATTTATTATCAGTTCAATTAACACTGAAAAAATGTACTTAAATTAAATTAAACGCATATTATAACATATCCAAAAATGATGATTGATGATAATAGTCTATATACACCTGCAGAAGCTACACGCTCAAGACAGCGTACTACAAAGCAAAATAATATCAAAGGCATATCAGCCCCTTAATTTATTTCAGAAAGTGACAGTTTAATAGGATACTGCACTTTCCGGGATCTGTTTACAGCCGTTTACATCAACCATTCCAAATTATCACAAGCACAAAAATTGTATCACGAATCGTGCTACAAAAACAAACCGTAATAACCTTTTTTCTGTAAGAGTAATCGACTTACCTTATTTTCTTTGACATATTATTATTTTTTACAAATTAATGCATGGGATACGAAAAAGAGGATTGGAATAGTGCAGCGGTACCATGCTTTGCAGTCCGTCATTTCCGTCCAAAGGAAATTCAGACGGGATTTTGGCGGCACTCCCCCGAGTAGAATTTCGTGGACCATTATGAGGTTGGTAAACATGTTTGCCGAATCTGGAAGTATGGCAAGAAGACCGTACCATCGAGATCCGTATGTTCGTGTTCAAGAAACAATCGAGACTGTTGCATCGTCAGTTCATACAAATTCAAGAGTTTCGACTCGCAACTTAGCGGCGCAACTTGGAACTAGGTCATTACAACGGATAATTCGTAATGACTTAAACCTGTTTTCGTACAAAATTCAAATAACAAGCCGGTTAAATCCTCTAGATTTGCTATTTGCCTAGAATTTTGCGAAAAAAATATTGAAATGGCCGAAGAACACAATAACTTGATAAATTGCCTGTTTATGTCTGATCTAAATGGAAATATAAAAAAGCAAAATTGCCGATTTTAAATGAATCAAATGCAGAAGTAATCCACGAGATGGAACTTCACCCAGAACGAGTCACTGTGTGGTGCGCAGTTTCATCAAGGTATATTGTCGGGGAATACTTCTTTGAAGAAAACGGTGTAACAGTAACTGGCAATGGGCACTTAGTTAAAGATGTTGAATGAGTTTTTTTACCCAGAACTGCGCCGAAGACGTATCCGTTTCAATAGCGTTTGGTTCCAGCAAGATGGAGCACCTGTTCACATTGCCAGACCGGTTATTGCGGAGCTTCAACGAAAATTTGAAAACAAATTAATATCACGAAACTCTACTTTCCGCTGGCCCCCTCGGTCACCTGATCTGACTGCACCAAATTTTTGTTATGGGGTTATGTCAAGCAAAATGTGTAGAAAACAAAACCTAGAAATCTGACTGAATTGAAGCAGTCCATTAAATGGATAATTGAGGCAATCCCGACTTTAACCCTTCAGTCTGCAATGAATAATTTGTTAATTAGGTGTTGCATATGTGTAGCTCAGCATAGAGGTCATTTACATACCATAATTTTTAAGAGCAATGAATTTTATAAGATAAAATTTGCTTTACAATAAACAAATAAATAAATGTAATTCATTGATTAAAAAAAAGTTATTACAGTGTATTTTTGTAGCACGATTCGTGCTTCACCCTGTAGTCAAACAGTTCGCACTTAATGCCGAAAATTTCAATTTAGCTTGGGAAGCTTCAAAAACAATATACGAATTAAAAGAATAATCTTCGATAAACAAGTAACGAAACTAATGAACTTGCCTAAAATTCAGAAAGAAACAATTATAGAATTCGTTAAACTACTAGTCTCATTTTCTATAGCAGCTTCGGAGCAAAAGAAGCGCTTAACAAAAAGAACCACTGGTTTAGTTGCAACAGCACATCCCAAAGCTCAAAATCATGAAAATTGCCAAAAAAAAACCATGCTGGTCAAAAGCACTTACATCTCAAATGCTACTCAAAGTAGGGTACTACTACTCTACTTCAGTAACCTCAATCAAGTACCGAAGAGAATTGTTTAAACTTTCAGCCTTAATAGACCAAGGATCACAACGATCTTTTTAGCATATAAGGCAAAACAATCCAAATAGTTACGGGAATGGGTGGAAGAGTAGTCCAAAACTCAAATAAAATCTGCCCCATTACCCGAAATTTCTCTCAAGAGGATAAGAGAATCAAAGCACAAGCTATAGTCTTACCGCAACTTACGAACATGATTCCAAGCTATCAAATAAATAGCAAGCATTGGCAAAAGGTTTCACACCTAAAGCTGGCTGATTCTTACTGGAACACGCCCAGACAGATATTCTATTAGGTAGTAACCTCATACTCCAAATATTACTTGAAGGTGTTGAAATTTTCAACCTCAAAATAATACCATAAGTCCCAATTAAGGAAATTTTGGGAGTTACAAAAACTCCCCCTCATATCAATTACAACCCCAGAAGATTAGTATTTTGAAGATTTCTATAAAAAAAGTTATTCGTTTAGCTATTTGTTCAGATAATGGTCGGTACCACTCGAAAGGACTCTGAAGCATATATCCAATCGTACGTACACTTTACGTGATCAATTTTTATCGTTATCCCCAGCTCTCAGAGTAGTTGCTTAGATCCTCAAATTTATAGAACAACACAAAAGTGTAGTTACGGGATCACCATACTCCCAAGGTGATACAGTGACGCACTTAAACTTACATAAGTAATGGTCGCTCTGATCGCATCTACCATATCTAAACGTTTTGAAGGAATTAAATCAAAAGCATTAATTCTCAGTTCAAAAAAGTAGCTGGATATTACAAATTTAACTATAAAGTGTTCACTACATTACTAATTCCAATTGACGTCATTTTCTCGCAAGATTCCTCGGATTTCACAGCCCTATCTCCTGGGAATGTTCTCAAAAGAGCAGAAGAGCCAGAATTAATGGCCATATCTGAACCAGAGGTGAAGTTGCCTTTATAAATATGCCGATAATAACGAAATTGTAAAGAACCGCCAATTAAATTAATAAACAAAAACACGCATATATATAATATATAATTTAATATCCGTATATAATAAGTATCCGTAAACCGCATTTTGGGCGATTCAACCGACAATATAATTATATTCAGAGACGCGGACTTTTATTTTCAAATAAAGCAAGTGTTAACTAGAAAACAGGAAACCCACTAAATTGCAAATACATAAACAAACACAAAAGAAGATGCATGCACCAATACACTCACATTTAATATGTCAGTACTGACGGACAGTTTACTAATCAACTGACCGTCACTGTTATTGTTAAACAGAGACATCTTCGAATTATATTGCTTACATGTGTAGGAATGAAATAGCTGAATGCTTAAGTACTGTCACCACTGACAGTAAAATGAATAGTAAAATGACTGTTTGTTCGTATAGTTAGAAGCTCTGCCTATAGAGTTGAGGCAGATATAGCTCAAGAAGTATTATATGATTTTATAAATAATTTTGGGAGCATATAAGGAGATGAGTTAGTTAGCTTTAATATCCATGATTTGCTCCATTTGTCAGAATGTGTCGAACAGTTTAGTCCATTAGATTCCTTTTCAGAATATAAATTTGAAATTTATGTGCAGTTTCTTAAATTTTAATAAACCAAATAAAATTTTGCAAAAAATATTCCTACGTATCAATGAAAGGCATACATTTTGCGGCGATTTCAATATGGCCTCGAAAATAGGATCATTTGAAATTAATCCCATTAAAGAAAAGGATTATTTTTGTTTTAGCAAAAAATTGGGACCCATGAAAGCTATAAACACTAACACCTCAACCAAAGCGAATAAATAGGTATATATGTAACGCTTTTAAGAAAATATTGAACTATTTTGAGACACTTTTTGAGTCTGCAAACAGTCTGGGAATTGTTTTGGCTAGTGATTTAAGTAATGATGATATTGAAATATCAATAGAAGATATAGATCATAAGTATTTCTGCGTCCCCCATGGCGACAAGTTTCTCCCATTCCTCTTTTGCATCATCTCTTTCACGATTTTTCGCAACAACCTGCACATTCTGTTTCAACGATATAAAAAACATAAATTTAATAAAATTTGTATCTATACATGAGCTTCAATACAAGTAATATGTTTGGCGACTCTATATTTGAGAGCCAAGAGCAAAATGGTAAGCAAAACATAAATATGAGATACTCGTATACAATCAATAATATTACATATCTATTTCAGATTATCAATCAATGATACCAAAAAAAATATATATAAAACAACAATAGCAACAACCTCAGCGCCTTTGAAATGTAAGGAGAATGTGCCACCTCCAGTACAAAACAACGGTAATTATAAAATAAACATTAAATTTATTTTTTTAATTTTTAATTTGAATATAATTAAGTTATTTTTTAATTCATTTCAGATATGATGGTTATGCTAAACAAAATTTTATGCAACCAGAAGGAAATAATGGAAAAGCTTCATAGTTTAGAAGCGAATCTAAGTAAATATTCTATAACAAATTGAAATTTAGATAATTTTGTATATAATGCCATTTTTTTTTTCTAAAATCTATAGCAACAATTATTATTCCATAAAATGGGCTCGTTGGAAAATGGACATGTGACGATAACTACCAATCAAGCACTTATAACTGGTAAAGTGGAAACAATTGAACAAAAAGTAAGGAATTCTATATATAATAAAATTATAAATTCAAATGTTTATCTATTTTAAAAGGCAACAGATAAATCGGTACCAGCACAAAGCTCCCTGATTAGGGAATGCAAGATGCGTATTAAAAAAATTGAGCGATCGGTATGTCCCATGACCGGAGAGGCAAGAGATGACACTATTGATGAGGTAGCAAGTCTTTTACCAATTGAAACGGTTGAGGGATGTCTGGAGGTGGAAGAAATCTAAAAAACCCCGAATTCACGCAGGCTATGGTAAACACGTTCTTTATAATTACATTCAATATTACTAATTACATCTATATATTCTTATTTTACAGACCACTTATATCCACAAACTGAAGGGTACATCCGATAACATCGAAAACGTTTTTAAAAATATATATACTGACTGCCTCCTCGAGTCCTTTAATTGGGATGAAAGAGGCGAAAAACATACCCTAGGCGAACTCAGGCTCATAAAGACTATTTTACGAGATAAATAAGCGGCGTGTAAGAGCTTAAGACAACTGTTTTTAATTAATTTTAATTGTTTAGTAGTTTTCCAGTCACAAGGTGCTTTTGACTTTGTAAAGAGCATACGGAGAGCCATTGAACGGACCCACCACTGAGTCAAACAAAAAAAACACATGGAAAAGAGGCGAAAAAATTAAAAAATATATAATTTTTTAAGAATTAAATTTTATTTTATTACAATTTTATAATTTTGCAATTTGGTTCGTAAATATGAATTATATTTTTTTCAGTTAATTATAAATATATTTAAATATTAAAAAATTAATTCAATTAATCATGTAAATATTTAAAGTTAGAACAATGAATTATATTGATCTTTCAGTTAATTATGTAAATATTTAAATTATAAGAAACGAATTATTTATGTAAATATGTAAATATTAATTAATACAATTTTTCGCTTTTGTGTATATACTTGTACGTATATTAATACATTTAAAAAAATTACCTAGAGAGGAAGAAATGTTACTAAATTATAATGAAACTTATTTTAAGAATTATATTATTTTTAGTAAATTTTTTGTAAAAATCTGAATATTATAGGTTTAAAAATGAATAGAAAAACTATGATAGATTTGCAGTCATCACTGACAATTTTCAGCTATGATGGATTTATGGTCAGCAATGACTAAGCAAAAGGCATGAGAGTGAGCAGCACAGATATATAGTGAATCAATTAAGAATATCCATGCGTTAAAGAGAGATGCAAACTCACACACATAGAAACTTTGTTCTACGCGCTGACTTCATTCAGCTATGACTGTCATATTACCCATCAGATGACCGTCACTTTTCTTGTCGGGATATTTACCTAGTTTAAGAGCTTGCAGATAAACCAGCATATTTAATATTATCTAGTATGCAATACGATGTACACACATGCACATATATGGCAATAGTGTTTTTATCTACATACATATGTTCAAGTATGTAGATATTAGAGATGGAAACAACGGGAAGGCTTCGCCGGATGAACGCCGGAATACCCCAATCATACAAGTATATACTTGTAGATAATTGAACTATTTTAAAATTTTTATGGGTGTTCTTTTAATTACATTGTCTGTTTTTAGTATTTAGATAGCTTCGTTGATAGTTGCAATTAATGCAACAACCTGGAATAATTATTTACGGACAAAATTGCGGAATTGACAGGTATGTTTATTTTTCCAGAAATAGTTGAAATACAAAACAAAGTCATTATTAATTTTTTGGCGGAACATACTGTTTTATTGCATAAGCTGTCTCAAAAAGGGAAGGTAACTGTTGCAGCTATTTCCAAATTTTCAAATGCCATGGCGTAGTGTAAGTAGAATATATCGTCACCTAAAATGTAAAATTACGTAACATCACTTATCATAAGTTTATCGGAGAAGGAGAAAGAACTAGCGAAACGTATACAATTGATGATACGTTATTTTAAATTTTGGTTATATCTGATAGCATGAATTTAAAACTTTCTATACATGCATGTACCATATATGTAATCTAATATTATATGATGTAGTAAATCGTAATCACCACAAAACTAAATTTCGAATTATTTGATGATACCTTATTTTGCATTTTAAGTGACCATATGTTGGACTATTCGAAGTAGTTTGGTGGGTGGTCGAGAAAATGCAATGTACTTGTGTAAGCATAATATATGTTGGTCTAAAGGATGTATCCTATATTATGCAGCGTTGGACCAGATGTGGTCATGTCCAATGACATCGCAATGTTAATCTAACTATACTCTTTCCATAGGTTTGAAATACTTCGGTCACTAGTGTTGGTTACAACGTAGCGTGGTCCTGTCCTAGTACATAATGAGGTCCTACTTTTTGTAGGGACACACTCACACATTTAGGTAGTTAAGATAGAATCTAAAATATTATATAAGCAATAAAAACAGTAAAATAAAACCAGAATATAAAAGTTCTGATGACTTGTCTTGCCCCCCCATCAGAGGTAAGAAATTCTTTACAATAAGTTCTCGTCATCAGTACTTTTAAAATAGGAACGATTTTTTCGAAGTTCTATATATTGGTAATTATTCAATTGGAAATGTTCGCAAATAAATTAAAAATAAATATACATATTTTCTTTAAAGATATCCCAGGTATACAAAAATATTTTGTTGTGCTGGATATGTTAGCAAATTTTCATGTTTTCAAATGCCCATTGTATACATGTCTTATATTTTAATCAATTATCGGCTTGTTAGCAATGAATTTAGTTTCTCCGAAAATATGCGAAATGTTATGCAGAAGGTTTTAAAGTTTTAATAAACAACAAACGTGGAGCTATCTATACTTACATTCTACAAAATACCCTGCTGTACTCAATTAAATTATCGCCTTCGTTTCAAAAGTATTTAATTCGTATGATCTCAAAAATAATGATGTCGCCAAATTTAGTTAACCATTAAGCATCAAACTATGAAGAAAGAGTAATTTAGAATATTGCAATGTGTCATAAGGAAAGTGTTCTACCAGGATCTAAAAGTTACGTAAGAAAGGTATCGAGGTTGATGGGATTGTCACATGATGGCAGATTACCTCCTGTCCTTAGAAAATAGATTGCCAACTGGAAAATTATAAAAGAAACATTTATATAGGCATTTTATTGAAATATAACATATGTTTTCGACACTTGTCCTCGTGTTTATTTCAATGTATCCTTATTTTTCAAATACCATATGTATATAAATAGGTCTTTTACTTTGTTTTATATTTTTGATTTTGGTAATGTAAAATAAAAATTGAGATTATAAAATAAACGAGAGCAAAACTTGTAAAATCATTTGCAGTTTTTTGATAGATAAAGTAAACGTAATAATATAGACAGCTGCTCTTGAGCAGTTGCTTGTTTTTGACACTTCTAATAAGGGTTGATCGTGTTAGATAATGTACACAGTTGTCTGCGTTAGGTAGGCGATACTTTCTCACGAAGTACAATTAGGTATTCTGCTGTCGTATGACAGCTATATTCGCGCTATTATTGATTCGTAATAGGAGGGTTGTTTAATTTAATAAATAAAGCCTCCGTTACATGTTGTTCGGATTCGAATGATGACGAGACGAATTGAATTGCGAATATTTTACTGATCGTCTATAAGTGCTAGTGAAGATGAGGGTATGTTGACGAAATCTCGTTCATTTGTGTTCTCCAAGCAGCTTTGTACTGCGCATGTACATATTAAATCAGATCACTTCCACCGCTAGAAAGCGAAGGCTAAGATATATTACATAGAATTGCAGTAGGGCATACGTGATTAAAAATATTTTGGAATAGAAAACGTGGCTTCGTCCACTAATCGGATAACAACCACATCCTCACCCAACTTTACGGTTGTGTCCCAAATTACTAAAAGTACTAAAACTCAATTAGAAGCGCTAAATTTTCCAGTAAATATTATAAAGAAGGATTTCATGAAAAGTGATATAAAACTTGGACAATTGGTGTGGGACTGTCCACTTTTAAATGAAATCCCACATTTGAGAAATTTCTCTAGCAGTCCGATCTAGTACATTTTCCTGACACCTTTATGTAACAGATTGAAAATGGTCGAACATATGATTACAACTACGCCTACTTTTCATATAACACCGTTTTAAATATTGTCTGAATCTATGAAATTCAGAGGGCATCCTGGTGTGCTCTGGCGCCAAAAATGTTTGAAATGGGTTGAGTACTTCCTCCAGCCCCCATGTAAACAATAAACGCTTTTTCGAACTTCTATCGTTTAATCGGTTAATATTATATAGACCCTAAAGTTGGATTTATATTGGATTTTTATCCATATAATATATTTCAATAAATTTAAATCTAAATATTTCGCTTAGTTCTATCAATCGATAAGTACTTAAAGCTAAAAGTGGGCGGGAGTTATACCAAACTGTTGCTGCAGTTATGTCTGAAGATTTAAAAATTGAAAGACTGTCAGTTGTGACATTTAAAAAAAAGAAGACGAAATGACTCGTTGGTGGTATACTCTTTGAATTGAAATTGAAACAACTCAGCTTTAAACTATTGAACTCTTGCTTAGCATTACGAATTACAACTAATTTCTATCTAAACAATGAAATGGCTATGTTCTGGTTTAACCGAACATTTCATATTCTTGCAACTGTTGCAAGCCTTCTTGTATCATGGTTTTATAGAAGCCGGTGTCAAAGTTGGATGAAATCATGTATCTCCGCACCTACTCAACCAACATCAACCAAATTCTGTACATCAAATTACACAACTTTAAATTCCATCTGATTCTTCCACTTTCTAGTACATAAATCAAAGGAATGCCATCTCAAGTCCAAAATTTGTTAAAATCAGATCATAACTGTTCAAGCGCCCAGATATCGACGAAGTAGATCCCAGTGTCTATGGCTGACTTTTTAGCGAAAATATCGGTCAATGTGTGAGATATGTATATAATTGAAATCATTTCGTAGTATGTCAGAATGTCAAAAATCGGATCGAACTTTCGGCTCACTTTATACCGCATATATCGGCCAATATGTGAGTTATTCTAAACAATTGAGTGGGCGTGTTTTTCTAATAACATACCTAAGTACCTAGATAAAGGCGGGTGAAAGCTTGCCTAGCTTCCATTTAACTAACTCTTTATATATTGAGGAAAGTATGTGAGGTACCTTAATGAAATTCAGAGAACATCTTTTTATGTTCATAATATGTAGAAAATCCAAAAATAAATAAAATCGGGTCAATAATAATATAAAATTTTCAAACTTCCAGTTGGCTTTATACCGTATATATCGGTAAATATGTAAGATATCTTCGCAAAATTAACTGAACGTATAATTTGGATATACTATGTTTAATGCCGAAAGTATGTAAAATTATATTTTATACATAGTACATTTAATGATTTTTTTCGTTATTCTACTAAACCTTATTCCGCACATGTCGGTCAGTCTGTAAGTTAGCAATAAAATAGTTGAGCCTATAACCAAAAATACCAAATTTTATTGTAATCCATTCCCGATTTCGTCAAATAATGAATGTTGAATTCTTTCGAAACATTTTGTAATGTATAGCTTTGCCAACACCTGAATGTATTTCCCCGGCTTTGATCGATGCAAGTTGCAAGAGTACAATATGTTCGATTACCCCCGAACTTAG